GAATCGGCGATTCACTGTACAGAATCGTCCGGTTCTCTCTAGAACCGGACGATTTCCGATTTTTGGGCGATCCGGTTCCTTTTTCACTATTTTCGAGTCGAACCGGGCGAGTCCGGTTCGACTCGACGTTTTTTAAAACGCTGCTCCCAACTATTAAATTTCAAATTGAATAGTTGAGATATATCACCTAGTTTGATATTTTTTTATTTTTGAATTATGAATCTAATTAATGATGCTCTTACATCCACTCAATTTGAAATCTAATTTAATGAAGTGATGATAACTTCCTTATACAATTTAATGAAGTGATAATAACCTCTTATACTAAAAATAAATATTGTGTTTGTGAACTTTTTCCTAAGGAATGAGGGTGGGAATGCTCGGAAAGTTGGGTCCATGAAGTTCTAATATTTCCCTATATTTCTTTTGAGTTAGAGAGAAGAAATGCTACAATAAGCCAAATTTGACCTTCGTGAAGAGAAGGATAAATAAGGACTTGCCCCCTCCTCAAAGCACTTGGGGAATGATATTCATAAAAGCCGAAAAAGTCAAAGTTAGCGTAGGACAGTGGGTTTTACTTTATAAAGTAGCGGTTTAAGTCTAGGGGTGGCCGGCCGGATAGATCCAGATCCGAATAGTATTCGGGCCTACTCGTCGGGTCTAAAAGTTGGACCCATACTCGTATCCTCCTGCTCTCAGGTATATCTTATCGGGTCGTAGGTCTGGTCAGGTCCACCCTCGCTATGAACTTCTTTTATTTGTTTTGCTCTTTTTTATCATCATATACCTATATTACAGACAACAAGATCACAATTATTTGCCACGAGATTTCAAACTGTCTGATTTGTAGTTTAATAGATAAAGATGATTACGGGCTCTTATTGTACACGATCACTAATACACCTAAACGAATAGGGCTTGAATTATTTTACCATCAACGGTTTACCGGTTTGGGTCGAGTCCAACCGGACCCAGACCCGAACTCAAATAGTGTTCAGGTCCAGGTTTTGGATCCAAACCCGACCCAACGGGTCCAAATGTTGGACCCATACCCGGCCCTACGTTGGGTATACTCTGCGGGTCTCGGGTCGGGTCCGGGTCTGGGTCCATTGCCACCCCTATTCAAATCTTTCAGTAAATAGTTTTCGGATACGGAAAGATCAAACTGAAATGGATTTGGGGCATGGTAAATAAAATTATTTTTTTAAAAAAATATCATCAGAGCTTTTTTTTTACTATTTGGATCAACTACACGAATTCTGATCTATTATTCTGCTCTATAAAAATCCATACTTTAAGTGAGACTATAAAAAGATGATAATAATAATAATAATAATAATAATAATAATAATAATAATAATAATAATAATAATAATAATAATAATAATAATAATAATAATAATAATACATCATCATCATCATCATCATCATCATCATCATCATCATCATCATCATCATCATCATCATCATCATCATCATCATCATCATCATCATTTCTAATGCATTATTTCATCATCATCATCTTTTCTAATAAATTATTTCCATCACTTATTTTCATAGGTTCACAAAATCCATCAAATCTACATTATTTTAGAGCTTCAAATTCCAAGTCAAATGTTAACATTGATTCTCAAGCCATTTCACCTATTTTTTTCACACTTATGCGCGTAATAGATTTCACGTATTTTGGAAAAATCTTTTGCAATTTATTTCCAATTTCTTACGGTTGAATGTATATGGTAAATCTCATATTTTCTTATAATATATTTTATTGTAATAAATTTTCAAGTACCAAACAACGCTATAGTATAATAACTTTTTGTTCAGTGGTATTTTAAAGAATGAAAAATTCCGTATAGAACCCTAATTCATCGTATTATTTTATGGTCGACCCTTATTCTGTTTTTTTTTTCAAGCAGCATAAGAAAATCCCTAAAGATTTCAACATACCCCATCATCTTTTATCTCATTTTTTTATTGACTTTTGACTATAAAAATTAGCCTCAAGAAATCTTTTTATATCATTTCATCTCAAAAATTTTTTAACCATCTTTTTCTTTTTTACCTATTAGAAAAGTTTTTGGATTGAAATGGTATAAAAATATTTATTGGGGCTAATTTTTATGACAAAAAAAGTCAATAAAAGAGGGAGATAAGAGTTGAGGGGGTATGGTGAAATCTTTAGTAGTTTTTTTTATGCGGCTTGCAAGAAAAGCGGAAGGATGGTCTACCATAATATAATATGAAGGATTAGAGTTCTATACGAAATTTTCTCTTTAAAGAATTAGTCAATTGTAAAGTAGAAATTCTTAATAGAAACAAAAACATTTATTAACAATAATGGACAATGATTTCATCGTATGTGACACCACCAAAAAATGCATTAATTTTTTTAACTATTAATAAAATGAGACTATTTTTTATAAAAATATCTATTCTACCCTTTTAAATGACAAAAAATGCCCATACTTAAAAACTTTTGTGATAAAATATAATTCAAATAAATTAATTAATAGTCGATGAAAACGTGAGGGCCCATGTCACGCGTAAAGAATGGTTTATATTTAGAGCAAAAGAGATGCCACTTTTGGGAAGTGGATGCACTACATCTGCCCTAAGGGCTTTTTACTCCATCAATATCAACTTTTATTTTTCAAAACCATTATTTTGATTTTGTTGACATAAAGAATATTATTTTTTCCTGATTTGTGGACCACTTTGCTTTATAATTGGGTGAATAGATGCAAATAACGGACGTACATGATCATTGGACACCCTACAAAGGGAACAAAGGCAAAATTCTCAAAACTCGTTGCAGTGTCTAAAGACTCGGGCGAGTCCACTTGGACTCGGGCTTGATATAGGCGAGTTCATGGGGCTAACATATCCCTATGAAAAATCATTAAAAACTCGCAAAGTTAGGTAAAAACCTTCAATAGGTGACATTTTTATATGATTTATGTGAACGTTATGATGATTTGGGAGCTTTTCTTATCACATACTTTTTCTTTTTCTTTTTTTCTTTTTAAATTTCTCTGGAATATTTCAAGATATAAATCAGAATTTTCAATAGTCCATTTTTGATATACCTTTTTTAACTTTTACAGACTTTTAAAAAATTATATTATTTCTTCCTATTTTATTTATTTTTAACAAAAAATTTATATTTTATATTTTTTAGCTTTTTTTAATCTTGTACAGAACTTGGCTAAGTCCACTTGGACTTAAGTGAATTACTCGGCTCGGGCAAAGTCCAATGCCCGGGAACCGAGCTTGAAAACAGTGACTTTTATTAAATGATCAAAACAGCCGTTGTCATTTGAATTGAATATAAAAAATAATGTATTTTGTGCATCATAGTAATGTCCAAACCTATGTCTATTTCCGTTTGCCTTTCTAACTCCTCAAATTCGACTTAAGGGTGTGTTTGTTTGTACAAATGGGGCACTTACGGGTTGTTTGTTTTTACAAATAGGGCGACCTAGAGCTACAATACTTAAGCAGGGTGCCCAATTAATATTTTTCAAAAAAAAAGAAAATGGTTTCAGTCCTAAAGAGGTTTGTTTGATTATAAATTTGAAATTTTTTAATTGATTTTTTCTAATTGTCATCATCATTGTCAAATTTTTTTCTCAACCTAATTGGGATCAACTATACCATCTGTTGTGTTGCTCTATTAAAGGCCACATCTTCAATGAGATCATAAATCTCTATATCTTTTTTCACTACTTTTAAATATTTTTTTTCCAATTGCAATACGAGGAAATGACATTTGTTGTATAGAAGCGTTCAATTGGTTTCTCCAAATTGCAATTGAGAAATGTTTAAATTGAGTGAGTTGTTTGATTGTAATTTTCCAAATTATAAACCTAAAATGTTCTTTTTCCATTTATTTGTTTCTTTCTCAATACTGACTTTTCCTATACATACATAATGATGCATATAAATACAAAGATAATGATGCATATAAATACAAAGATTGCACGTGTAGACTCCAAGTAGCCTGAATTAAAATGATTAATTACCTCGCTTATTTTGGGTTCCAAAAATTTGCATTTAAAAATTTCTTAATATAATTTGAAATCCAGAATAAGCAAATACATTTTTGGCAATTATCGATTGCTATTATTGGTTAATTTACGAAAATTACCCTTTTATTAATAATTTGAAACCCAGGGCTTGTAAACCATTTTTTAAAAAAAGATAAGTGAGAATGAAGTGGAGTTAAAATGATGCTACTCTATGGGGGGAGGTTTGTGCAAGGTTGCACTTTTAAACAATTAAAGTGAGGCACACCTCCAAACTGTCATAAGATAAAATTTTGGTGTCGAAATTTTTACGATGGTCCGAGGATTTATTGTTAATCTCTAATTATAAAATTTTAAATTTCAAAAATAGTTCAAATCAAGTAGATCTACAAAATGATGCTCCTCTATGGGGGAGGTTTGCGCAAGGTTGCACTTTTAAACAATTAAAGTGAGGCACGCCTCCAAACTGTCATAAGATAAAATTTTGGTGTCGAAATTTTTAGGATGGTCCGAGGATTTATTGTTAATCTCTAATTATAAAATTTTAAATTTCAAAAATAGTTCAAATCAAGTAGATCTACAAATACATGAAAATCTTCAATATGGATGGTCTAGATAATGAGTTGGATGATTACTCTTTTTTGAGATTTAAACTCTTTTTTTTTTTTTTTTCATATCTATATATCTCGATATCTCAAACTTCAGACTAATTTTTTTGGATGGATTTTTGAAATGCACCTTAATTCGAGGATTTAAAATGTCACTCCATATAAACTTTTTCCATTATAATAAGGACTATTTTGGTGAAATATTTGAGTTTGATTGATTTTTTGAGATGGTCTACTATTTTAATGATATTATTCTACCATAAATTCCCAACCATGCTGTGGTCTAGCTTCTGAATCCACTTTCTCACTCTATAAATACCTCTCCTCCCCTCTATCTCTCTCCATATACAAAACCTCCACTTTCTTTTCGTTCTTTACACACGTCTCACTTTTCTCCCACTTCATTACTGCACTTCTTCCTCTCTCCTTCCATGGCCCCATCCTTCTTTACTGTATAACTCTTCTTTCTCTCTCTCTCTCTCTCTCACTTTCTATGAGATGCATGCATTTCACAAACTTTGCGGTCAATTTTGAACATCACTCCACTTAATATTCTCTCTATACTCTCTATAAATTGATGCTTCCTAGCCCTCCATCCCTGCAACTGACAGGTTTCCAACACTAAAGTATTTTCCTTCCCTTTGTTGGTTTTGAGGCCCCCTTTGTAATTTATTGCTGATTTTTCCAGTTTCAATGAGAAACGCAGTAGGAGTTGATAATTCTTTTCCTGAACCTGAAACCCCCTTCTCTGTTTCAGTGATTTTGCCTCCTCCATTAATGGACCTTCACAAGGTCCCAACCCCACCTTCCAAAACCACTTTTGAGGTACTCAAAATCCGGTTTTCCGATATATTCTTCCCTGAAAACCCATTGAAACAATTCAAAAACCAGAGTGTTTGTAGAAAGTGGGTTTTGGCCATTCAATATCTATTTCCCATTTTTCAATGGGGGCCCAATTATAGTTTGAAGCTTCTAAGGTCTGACATTGTATCAGGATTCACCATTGCCAGCTTGGCTATACCTCAGGTTCTTTTATTGCGTCATAACATTTTCTTTTTTTTTCCTTCTTTTTTTTTGGTTTTTTTTCTTTTTCTTTTCTTGAGGTGAAAGGAGAGCTTTAGCAAGTAGCAGAAAAAGGAATGAAAAGAAAAGAAAAGAACACAGGGCTTTGTAGATATTTGAAAAGAAAGAGATGTGGGGTTTGTAATTATCAGGAACAAAAAGAAGATATGGACTTTTTATGGTTGTAAAAAGAAAAATGAAAAGCAAAAGGGGTTTTGTGAATGGTTGTTGTATCGAAAAGGGGTTTTCTGGAATCTTATTCTGGTTTTTTGGGTTTTTGCAGGGTATCAGTTATGCAAAGCTGGCGAATTTGCCCCCAATTATTGGCCTATGTGAGCATTTTATTTTTTTATGCTTGTAATGTAGTTTTTTTTAGTGGATTTTGTTTTTTTATTCGAATTGTAATTGGTCGTATTAAGTTAAAATTATATAGGGAAGAGATCATGTCAGGGCCGATGGAACAGTGTACGCCCAACCCAACGGCTTACATTGAATTTGGACATATTAAAAAAAAAATTTCTCTCCAATATCTTATGCATGAGATAATCTCTATGTTGTCTCTTGATTAAGTTTCAATGTACCAGTTAATGCGATTTGTTCTTGTAGAATGATTAGAACATATTACTCGTCATTTTTTGCTGCAGACTCCAGTTTTGTACCACCATTGATTTATGCAGTGCTTGGGAGCTCCAAAGACCTGGCAGTGGGACCAGTTTCCATTGCATCTCTGGTTATGGGATCAATGCTTAGAGAGAAAATCTCTCCAACTCAAAACCCTATTCTCTATCTTCAGCTTGCTTTTACAGCTACCTTCTTTGCTGGTGTTTTCCAGGCTTCATTGGGTCTGTTAAGGTAAGACACACTCTCTCTCTCTAACACACACACTCTCTTTCTCTGTCTAACACACTCTCTTTCTCCCTCTCAACATGTGTGTTAATTTGGTGAAAAGGATAGTTGCACGTAGTTTCAAACTCACAAGTGTCTCAACTGGACTCGGGCCTGAGCCTGGCTAGCTTTGGTCCTTTCCTTGTCCTTCACTCTAAAGGGCCGAGTATGGGAGGCCCAAGGCCAGCCCTGACCGTATTAGGGTTGGGCTGGTCCGGGCCAAACATAAATAAAAAAAAATATCTAGGCCTTGCCATAGTCGTACATTTTTTTAAGGCCGGGTGAGTTGGCCCGGCCCACCTGGGCATTGCCGACCCTATCCAAAGTGATTGCGCAAGAAGGGACATACTGGACTATTGCTCACCGGAATATTTTGGCATGCTCCTTTGATATATTACGAAAGTATGTCATGCATCTGAGGATTATACAAAAATCATAATCCTCGAGGCAACCACCTTTCATGGCAGCAAACGGAGTGGGAACCCATTTGGATCTATCAAATGAGTATTCAGAAAGATGATTCATGTAGTCGATTTTAAATAATTGAAATAAGATTACGATGACGGTGACGGAGAAATGATTTGGGGTGTCTGTGATAGCATATTTCCCATTTGCTCTCTGGTATAAAACCCATCCTAAGGTACTTTTAGGACCCTAAATTTTGAGGATGTATTCTCTTAAACGAAACAATCAATTTCAATAGGGAAAAAAATAAAGGCACTCTTTGTGAGCGAAAAAATTTGCATTCTAAAATTGAATGTGGACCGTCCAATTTGTGGATAGGAAGACTAAAGGTTAAAAAATCTAAAAAACTGATTTTACTTATTTAAAATAAAGGAAATTTAGCAGAATACGTATGAGAGATGTGATCATCAATATTTTGCACATTTGCAACTTTGATGGGATTTTGAAATTAAATTAAACAATATGAGTGAAAAATACTGAATAGTTCAAATAACATTGGTATTTTGATCAATTTCCCTGAAAATAATGAGGCGGTGATTTTAAGGTGGGTAACAAAATTTTAGTTCCAAAAAATCTTCATAAAGTAGCTTTCACACCCAAGAGAGAGTAAGGGGAGAATGTGCTCATGCGAGATCATATTATATCACTAAATTTAAAAAAAGATATTACTTTTGGTACAAGGTGGGTTACCATAGGTAGGACTCACAATGGGCCGGGTAGCTCGGTCCAGCCCTGGAAACTACAACCTAGGCCACAAAATGTGGCCCGAGGACCAGGCCACCATGACTTGAGGTTTGGGTTGGCTATACATTTTTTTTCTTTTTTTCTTTTTTAAATTTTTTTTTTGTGCTCTATGCACATTGAGTGCAAGCCAGGCCAAGGCTGCCCAATGGCACTCGGGCTGGGCTTGGGCCAATGGCCCAAGCCCAGACTATTGCCTATCCTAATAGCCTCTGTAGGGTGCGAATGATCTCATTGTAATACTCTCTGTTCAAATCAAATCGTGACTGAAGAACCCCTTATCTGAGTAAACTTCGTACAATATTTTCATTACATAAACTCCATATAAGATCATCATTATTTAAGAAAAAAAAAAAAAGTCACCAAATTTTTACAAGGCAAAAAAGAATTTACCTAATTAAGTGGTGTACCCTGCAGGTCTACCATTCCTCGAATGGATGGTTTAGTCTAGAAAGGGAATTGATTTCGTTCATTTTCTTTAAGTTCTAATTTTATTTTATTTTATTTTTTTGGGGTCTGAATTTATAAATGAAAAAATCCCACTAACTGTGTTTTTGGCGGGCTCTACAACGTAACGTGGTGGGGCCAAACCCCTAATAAGTGCTCTTTTTGCAATATTGAGAAATTTATCAAAATACCCATAATAAACAACTATATATATTTATCCACCTGCAACTATTCCAACTCGAGAACATGTAACTTTTATGGGTATTTCGAAACTAAATCAAAAGATAGGGGTAAGGTGTTAAATTATTCATTCTTTATAAGTAATTTGATAAACAAATTTCTCCAAACTAATTAGTAACATATTACATATTTTGATATATTTCCACATAAATTCCCTCCTTCGGCTTTGCAACACAAAATTATTCCATCCAGCATTCTAAAAATGTGACCAAGGGTAATATAGGCATCAACAAAAAAAAAGTGGGGGCTGAAGTTTTTATTTATTATTCATCACAAATTTTTATCCATATTGCTCATATTTTCTGAAGTTTAGAAATTATCCTCAAAATGAAAAAAAAAAAAAAAGGTGAAAAATAACATAGGGTAAACATGGGAAATTACAGGTTAGGTTTGATGGTGGATTTCTTATCTCGACCAACCTTGTTGGGGTTCATGGGCGGAGCGGCCATCATTGTCTCCCTTCAACAACTAAAAGGATTGCTTGGTATTGTTCACTTCACCAAGCAAATGGGAATTGTGCCTGTTTTAAATTCTGTTTTCAGCCATACATCTGAGGTTTGTATTTCATCCATCTCTCTTGAATGTTATCTCGAATGTTGCTATATTCGCTTTGGAATTTTTTTCGATTTGGTGGAAAAAATAAAACAATTCAGTATTTCGGATTCGAATAACTCGGGGGAAAATATTGGATTTTTTAAAATTTAATATAAATAAATTAGATATTTTTATATAAATATATAAGATATAATAAAAAAATTATAATAAAAATTTCAAAAAACCGAATCGGCCGGAAGCAGCAGCATCAGACTTCAATTTCTGAAGACCACCCATAAAGCAAAGTTGAAAAACTCTCTCTCTTTCTAGATTTATGTGGGGAGTTAGGCCTGCAAATATTAAGTTACTGTATCTCTGGAATGTGAATGGTCAAAATGTATTAAACTGTTTAAAGTTCACCTTATAAAGCCTTGTCAAGCAAATCCCATTTACACACAATCATACTGACAAATCTCTTATTAAAAAATATCATAAAGTTAACAAAAAAAAAATACAAAAGATGAAAGTTGGTAAAGGCAAATATCCTCTTTTTTTTTTTTGTTAAAATGTAATCTAATTATTGGTCTCTCTTCCCCCACTAACTGATGAAATTATTGATTCTGGTTTGTAGTGGGCATGGGAAACATCTCTCATGGGCTTCTGCTTTTTGGGATTACTTCTCGTAGCAAGGCACATTGTAAGTTCCCTGTTACTCTTTAAAACACACTCTCTCTCTCTCTCTCTTCTCTCTCTCTCTCTCTCTCTCTCTACTCTACTCTACTACTACGTACTACGTACTACGTACGTACGTACGTACGTACGTACGTACGTACGTACGTACGTAC